TGGGGAATATAAAAATAAAATTTATTATTAAAAAAAAAAAGATGTTAAAGTTCACTTAAAAAAAAAAAAGAAGGTGTGGTACATATATACCATGGAATATTACTCAGCATTCAAAAAAGATAAACACATGCAATTTGCAGCAACATGGATGGCGCTGGAAGGGATCATGCTCAGCGAAATAAGCCAAAAAGAAAAAGAAAAATACCGGATAGTCTCACTCATAGCAGGAATTTAGAAAACTTAAATAAGGGACCAGGAAAATGAATAACTATAAGAAAGTGAAAATCAAAATCAACAAAAAACTATGAACCAGAGACACTTTTTGGAGGTGGGGGGTGGGAGGGGAGGGATTGGGTCAGAATGGGGGGGTTGCAATTGTATGGGGAATATAAAAATAAAATTTATTATTTAAAAAAAAAAATTAGACCAGCACTCTGGAGAATCTCAGGGGTGTGGCTGGTGCCTGGGCAGGAACACAAGAAATGCCTTGAAGGCTCAAAAAGTTCAGGACTTTTAATTCTTCATGAGCATGAAGAAAAGTCAGCAGAACTATCTCTTTCTAGCAGTCGGATTTGTTTAATGAAAGCTTTGTCTTCGGAGGGGTAAAACCAAGATGACTTAGGAAGCAAAGACTGACTTCTTGAATAATTAGGGAGATGATGTCACTGCTTTCAAAGCCATATATAAAAGCAAATCTAAAACTTGCAATTTCTTGTTCATCAATGGCCCCCCTCATTTAGTGCTGAACTCTAGGAAGACTACAAAGTTGTAAAAGACCCATCAGCTCTTCCTTCGATTTTATTCTGGTAAACATTTATTGAGTATCCACTATGTGCCAGGTACTGGATTCTATCCCAGAATTAAAAAATAAATAGAGCACGATTTCTACCTCAAGGAGCTAATAGTCTAGTTGACTTGATAATAACACATCTCTCCACTTAGAATATTCTAAACACTGACTTGAAGAGATATATATTTTCTTTCCTGTGATTCTGTCAGTTCTCTGGCTCTTGCTGGGAGATTTATTCTAGACGTTTGTCAGTTCAGCTCTGAGCTCAGTTATTTGTGACTGAGTGAGAGAAAAAAATGGTCCTGTTTCCCTATCTCTCCCCTACAGGTTTAACAATGCACCTGGCTGGATCCAGAACATCCACTTTGTTCTCCAAATGAGGTGTTACACACACTGAGTCATTTTTCTGGCTTTTAAAAATGCTCTGTTCAACCCTCCAATTTCTCACCTACCTTATTTAATAATTCTGGTATTTAATAAATGCTTTTGATGAGGAAGAGGGGAAGGGAGATGGTGATTGTTAGGGCTTCAAGGCCCTGGGGGAAATAGCAAATTCCTCTGCCAGAGTCATCAAGTTCTGGGATGTTCCCTGGGCCATCTTGCTGAGTGCAAAGGCTAGAGACCTCTCCAGCTACAAGGGCCAGGCTTGACTGACCTGGGGTCACTCTGTCCCCAAGGACCCTACTACAGAACCAGGTCTTAGCCTCCTTGTTGCTTCTGCTCCCAACTTACTTTTAATTTTAATTATTTGGGGCTTTTCCTAACAGCAGACAACCACTGTTTTTCAAATATATACTAAGTTTGGAAGGTAGAGTACAGATAAGTTTGGATAAAGGTAAGAAAAAAACATCCAGTCCAGCTTCTGGCAATGGAGGAGGCCTCATTAGAGGGGCACATTTCAGTAGGAGGGCACTCAAGGTGTGGCCTTCAGGAGAATAAGTGCTGAATACCTGCCCATACAATGAGACTGAAAGAGAGAGAAAATGAGTTTCGTACTGGAAGGATATATTAGTTTGGGGAAAAGAGCATTGGCTTTGGAGTCATAGGCATGTGGGTTTAGATTCCAACTCCAACATTTACTACTACGCTTAGCCTACCTAGCTTCAGTTTCCTCATCTATAAAATGGAGCTAATAATACTGACGTTGCATATTTACAAGAACTAGTGATAAAACATGTCAAATTAATTGCATGTTATAGGCACTCAATGAATGGTAGCTGTAGTTATTTATTGAAAACCTTTTATGTACTAGGTACTTGTGTAGGTTTGGGGAATATGTGTTGAAATTGATCAATGAATGTTATCAGGGGATTTCGCTGGGATTTCCTGGCAGCAGGCCAGCTCCTCTTTTCTTCAAGGGAGAGAGGGGGATGACTTGACCCAACTCAACTACTTATGGGAGCAGGAAACTTCAAAGCCTTTAGCTGGGTATTTCAAGCACTTCCTTAAGCAGTGGACTCTATGTTCATCTGTTTAACATCTGAACCCCAAAATACTTATTCCTCTTAGCAAGGCCCCTCTCAAGCAGACTTATCAAAAGGAAGAGTAATAAGGAGTTTCTTGTTGAAACATTGCCCCATAGTATGCCTAGCTAAATCCCAACCAGCTGCATCCTGCTTCTCCTCAGTATTCAGGGAGAACAGGGGGCCTTGTACCTGCCCCCTATATGAGTTTCACCTGTGCTATCAATGTGATGAATACTAAGAGTCCTTTGTCAGAGCAGAAATACAGCCTCTTCTAAGAAAATAACTCCAGTGCTGTATGATACTACCATGGTAGATATTTCATCTGGTCCAATTGGGGTGCGGTGGAGAGGTATCTAATCACCTTTTTGGAGAAGGTGCTACTTAAGCTAAACTTTGACGAAAGAGTTGGCTAGGCAGATGTGGAGCATTAATGGAGAAGGACATATTCTTGAAAGGGAATAGCATTATTGAAAGGGAATTTCATACAAAGCATGAAAGTGAGAGAGGAACTCTTAAGTTCTGTTTGCTCAGAGTTGCATGGGTAATGATAGGACAAGAGATGATGCTGGAAAGGTAGACAAACCTCTGAGGGTTGCGCTGAGAAATTGGAATTTATTTGGAAGTTAATGGAAAGTCATCAAAATACTTGAGGAAAATGTGCATCTTAGAAATACCATTTTGAAAACTACATGGGGCATGGAGCATGGTTTGGAGAAGCAAAACTAGAGAAAGTTGCAACAACCTGGTAAAAGAAGGTGGTTGCATGAACAAGGGTAGAGCAATGGGAATAGAGGAGAAAAGACTTGAGGGAGAGAGGGAAGACTATAGATAGAATATATTAGAACTAAAAGATTATTTAGTAATCTGTAGTTCTTTCTTTTACACCTGAGAAAACTGAGGATCAGAGACTGCACAACCTCTTAAAAATTGAATCTCCTTGCAGTGAAAATATTTAAAAAAATAAATAAAGGTTAACAAGACCTGTCAGATTTTTGGGGTGCATTTCTCTATAGTATTCTGAATCTTGAAAGTGTACAGGTGGGATAGGATTGGGGGATTCCAGTGAAGTTTACATTAGAAAAAGGGAGGGAGCTCATTATGGGAGTCCTTCCTCTCCCTGATGTTCTCTCAAAGCATCCTTCATTTTAGAGGAATGTAGGTCTTATTTGCAGAATCACAACCTGTAGTGGTTGACTTGTTTGTGGAAGAATCAAAAGAGTGTTGTTTTCCAGCAAATAAAACACACCCAATTTATTCCTGCTTGGGAGTGACCCTACAGTATGCACAAGGGGGAAATTTAATCTGAAGCAGTGATTGTGGGATACTAACAATGTCTGTCACCTGGGGTGTTGCCTAGCTCTAACAACCAACAGTTCAGCATCTTTTTTATAGATTGTCATTTGAGATATAGCTATGAAGTAATCCCATTATAAAGGTATTATTGGTCACATTTAACTGGGAGGGAAACTGAAGCCCAGAGAACTTAAACTCATGCCTGCAGACACCAAGTAAGTAGTAGCAGTGCTGAGGTTCAAATTCACAAGTGCCTTATTCGAATTCCCTACTAATCCTACTACACCTGATCATCTCCCTGTAACTTGGCACAAGACTTGCCATCATTTTCTGTTTAGCCCTTATATGTGCAAGCCCACAGTGATTTGAGTGGATCAGAGAGAGGGTTTGCAGAGTCTTACAGTCTCTGACTCAAATGTGAACTGGTTGAGTTTGAGTTGTTCTCAGAACAGAAAATGTCCTTCAATGACACAGCTGTCACGCCAGCCCTTGGAAGCACAGAGTTTGTACAGAGTCAGGGAGACACAACTATTGGAGTGGGGTCCTTTCCTTCGTATGAGGGCCACCCTCCTTCGCTCATCTAAGGTCTGTCTTCCAGGTACAGAATAACTTGAACCTTTAACAACATAATAACCACCCTTTTTCTGTAACTCAGGGTGGAAAAAGAAATACTAACACCAACTAGTTTTTTTCTTAGGTGTACCTGATTATAATGTCTATATCATAAAATTTTATGAAATAGAAAAAGACTATACATATACAAAATAAATAACAGAAACACTGTTAATTATAAAACAGAATGTATGCTTATAAAAACATTTGAATGAGTGTACATCTGGGTCTATCTATTTGTGTATGTGTGAATCCACAAATAAAGCTATCTACATACATATTTAGCCACACCCATATTGCTTTTGCACAAATGAGATCACATTCTACAAACGATTCTGCAACTTGCCTTTTTTTCAGTTATCAGATAAACTGTTAATTCTTCTTAAGAATATACTCCCGGGTTTCCCTGACCGAGAACTTCAGCACCTCTACTTCCTGATGATGCATTACAGTCACACAGCTGGCTAAGGCTTGTGTGCAATTGAATCAAATAAGAACACACATCTGAGTGCAGGGCGTTGTACTAATGTTGGCTCCCAACATACCATAGTAGTGTGAGAAGTAGACTGAATACTCTCATAATGTTCTTCTGCAGCAGCTAGAGGGAAATGTTTGCACTTTGGACAAGGGAGAAGAACAAACACAAGATTGATAACATAGTGCATCCTCCTGGCTGTCAAGTACCCAACGTTGATGGGGTCTTTAAAGATCACTGTGCTTTGCCTCTGGCTGCCACGGTCCCCCCAAATCACCTAGGTGGCTAATCAGGGGAGGTTTCACCAAACCATAAGACGGGTCACAATGGAAGCAGGGATTCTTCCCCTCTTCTCCCGGGAGCTCAGAATCTGAGAGCAGTCCTTTTTGCCAACTAAGGAAGGGTAAGTTGGTAGAGAACATGGGGGCAAATGTAATGTTTTCTTAGCTCCTTAAAAACGTCCCTCAAACAGCTGAGGATCTCTTTGGATTCAATTTAACATTTCATTGACATCTTGAGAAAAACCAAATTGTTGGTTGGCTGGTTGTTGTTGTTGGTTTTTTTCAACCTAATGACAAGCCTGGCTTACAATTAATTCAACCATTCTTCTGCTCCGAATACTGTGTGTCTATTGATAAACAGGCATATATATTATCTACTTTTGTTTACTTCTCTCCAAATGAAAGTCCATTAATTTCCCAATATATTTTACAGAATGACTTGCCTGTTGCCAGCCTTGGGAGGATATATTAATCCTTAGTCCTGAAATGTTTAAGTTAGAAAATAATGGGAAATAGAAGAAATAGAAGGACCTAGATGACTCATTTATCTCAGATGTTCATCCTAAACTATTTGAGAAATGCCAGCAATGAATTAAAACCAGAATTCCAGAGGAATGACCTAAATCACATTTCACCAGAGAGACTCTTTAGTTCCTTAGCAAAAATTGCACTTTATGTCTAGAATGGCAGAGCTTGATGATGACTTGAGTCAAGTGACATGAACTGGTCTAGGTATAAAAAAAATCAATATTGTCTCTCTATGGGCAGAAACCTCTTTAGACAATGACAAAGGGAAGCCACAGTCAAGTATAAGACACTGACATCTGTAAAATGTCAGTGCTGAATAGGAAAGCTGGTTTAGAAAAGAGCAAGATCTTTTCTTGCTCACTGAATCAAAGACCAAATCAGCTCCTTTGTTCTTCTGGGGTGCTCCTCCTGCTTTAACTTTCCTCAGGCACAAATGAAGGGGCTTACTGATTTTCCTGTAAGGTGCTCTGAAGCCTGGAGATACCAGTGTGCAATAAATGTAAGGGCTGGCATTGTCATTGAGCAAATCAGAGAACAAAATAAGTTTAAGTCAAGAATTCAAAGAAAACTTCTTTGTTGAAAGTCAATAAAATTTATATTTAACAAGGTACTTTTGGGAAATAACAAATCTTACAACAATTAGATTAAACTTTCAACAATTAATTACTACCTTGGATGCCACCAAGAACTGGTTTTCATTTTATGTATTTATCATCCAGTTATAGATATGGAATTAATAGGTAACAAAGACCTAGGAAGCCCAATGAGGGAGGTTATTTACTCTGTATATAAATGAAAAGGAGTTTCTGAGTCAATAAAGATTGTGAAAGAGAGAGAGAGAAAGAGAGAGAGACAGAGACAGAGAGACAGAGACAGAGAGAGAGACAGAAAGAGAGAGGCTGTAACTAATCCTGGGCTGATTACTTAGCTGGCTCATCCATGGTGGTGACATTATGTTGTTGAGGGTGGTCTTAGAGCCAGGACTGGCCCTCAGCCTTATACCAGCAGGACCTCCATTTTATCAGTTCACCTGGCAGTGGGCAGACTCTAGCAGAGTTGACAGAAAAAAATACAGAGGACACCCAATTAAATTGGATTTTTAGATAAACAATGAATAATTTTTTAGTATGTCTCATACAGTATTTGTCTATTTGCTCAATCTGGTAATCCTGTCTAGGAGGCTTCCGTTAATTAACTCACCAGGGACTTATTTACAAATCAGAATGCCAGTGCATGGATTTCCAGGGTAAGGCGACTTTCCACGAATCAGCCCTTGACTATCTGCATGAATCTCTTTTAGTTGGAAAATCAAGTTTGTCATTGTCTGATGAATGACAAATTGCAGCCAAACCTATTAAAAGGCTCACGGGCTATAAATCCAGGCTGCGGTAGAACTTGGGAAGTATGAGTATCTGACTGCAGGGACACCAACCAGAACTTGGAAAAACAATCCAGCCTAACACAGTCTTTCTGTCTCCCAGACAGAGCTATAATAATGCTGAACTTCAACTCTCTTTTACTATATTTATTTCTCAAAAAATTTTTATAAGTCACCAAAAACTTACTCTGCATCATGGGCACACTGCCATTTCCAAGATATCTGCTGATTAAATTCATCATTTTTATAAAGATTTATTTATTCATGCATACAAGAACTGGGGTGTAAGCCAGAGGTGGGGGTGGTGGTGAGAGGATTCACCAGAGACAGCGTGGGGAACAGAACAGGCAGATCTCCTGGAATACACTGCTGAGGGGAGCAGCAGGCGAGACAGGAGAGGTCTGCTGCACCTTGTGGGTGGTTCCCTGGCCAGCCGGGGATCGAACTCGTGCTGTAGTGGCTGGTGATAGCTTGATAGCACCGTCTTTAACCCCTGTGGCACCAGGAAGGCCCCCTAAATTCATCTTATCTTAGTTATTGTTCTACTTTTTAAGGAGTCATATTAGATATCTTGTTGAGTTTTAGCAAACTCAGTAGTCTTCATTAGTAGGTATTACCTTTACAAGATAGTTTCAGATAAGTAGATATGTATCTTTCATTTTATAAAGCAGAACAATTTATCTTAGATTCTCTTCCTATATGGTGCATAAAAATTAATCTAGTAATTACCAAAGAGATGAGTTCATACCCTCTCCCTTGTTCTTCTTTTTTTTATAATCCCTGCTCTTTTTTTCTAAATTTTTTTTTAAAGATTTTATTTTATTTATACAAGCACTGGGTACAGTCAGAAGCGCGGGAAATGTGAGAGAATTCACCAGAGGCAGAGCGGAGAGCAGAGCAGGGCAGGCAGAGGGACCGAAGTACACTGCTGAGGGGAGCAGCGGGCGGCAGGAGAGGTCTGCTCGCCATGTGGGACCCTCGCCAGCGATGGGGGATTGAACCTGCACTGCAGAGGCTGCGGGCAGCTTCGCAACCCAGCGCTCAACCTCTGCGCCACTGGGGAGGCCCTCCCTTGTTCTTCTTTAGATGGAATCTCAGTAAGAGGGGAAGTGGGAGAGGAGTGACCCATATCATGTCATATATTCTGAGTAGGAACCTCCCGAGATGAGTAACTGCTCCATTTTGTCTTTGGTCATTGCGCCCTCCCCACTGGCATTCACAGGTATCGTCTAAGATGGCTGTGTTGAAAGTTATGCATTTATTGTCCACTGGTTTGCTCAGTGCATGCTACTGTCCATGGCTGTTCCTCCATGGTCAGATCCCTTTGGGTTGCTGGCTGTCACTCTCAGATTACTTCTGAGTCCTTCTTGAGGTATGAGGAGGATCCATCTACTCTCCCACACCTCTTTGGGACCACAGGGAATAAGGCTGTCATTGAGTTCTCTTCCTCTTTTACTTGTACAACCATCTCGTTGACCCCACATCCCAGCGGCATAAGCACATCTGTGGATTAGCTCCTTCGTTCTTCCTGTTTCCTTAAAATTTCTATGGTGTTCTATCCTCTATCACAGTTCTTCTCTTCTAAGGGGATTCACCTGTGACAATGACAAGGGATGTTGAGACCTTTCTTAGAGGCCACATATTCCTATAATTTTGGTAACCCTGCTGTAGTGACTGAGGGCTGACTTTCTAGGATGGAGAAGGAATTTTTTGGATCAGTCTTATTTATCCACTGGCAGGGCACAAGCATTTCCTGAATGTTCAGAAATTCTTTTCTCCCATGTTTAAGTTCTTGCATTCAGTTATCTCATTTGATCTTCAACAGTTAAGCAACTGACTTTCTTTTCCATGGCATTTCAACTATAGCCATCCCACTTTACTCCAGGCAGGGCAGAGCTTGGGCTACAGAGAAGGAGATGGCAGTAGAAGCATGAAATATTGATGGTTGCAAGGAAGATCTAATTAATCTCTTAAGATGTCACCGTACTAAATAGGTTAGTAATGAAATCCTCAGGAGGATTCCCTGAACTAAGTATGATCATTCTCATTTCCAGAAGAAGATTATTGTGATAAGTGGTGGAAATAGGACTGAACTTAGGATAATCTCATTCCAAAGTCTTCATTTTTAATTCCAACAGTAGTGTCATTACCTTGGTGGACAATGGATTCTCCAGGAAGTTTGTTAGAAATAATTTTGATAATTATTCTCAGCCACCTATCTACTTACCTTAAAAGATCCTGATTCACCCAACTGGCTTGCAAAGGGGCCTTGGTCATGTGTTTTGAACAGTCTCTGTGGTGAGTCAGATGCATACCGACATTTCAGAGCCAGTTTTGCCACTTGTTAATTGTGTGATTTGGGACAAATTATTTCACCTCTCAGTGCCTGGGTTTCCTCATTTGTTAAATGGCAGGTCCGGGGGTGTGTGTGATGACAGTACCTACACTTTTGAGTTATTGTGGGGATTAAATGATTTTTAAAATGAAAGCACTAGAAAGAATACATGGCACATAATAAATGCTCCACAAGCATTAAAGATGATTACTTTTGCTGCCTCTTAGTAGCAACTTACTTACAAAACATTTTTTAGGAGAGCTATTTCCTGGACAGATTACATAAAAGGGTAATTACCTGCATTTACATAGATTTTTGACAGCTTATGTCTCAGAGAGTGATTTTTTAAGCCCTTTTCCCCAAACCTTCATTGATGTGCCTAATTTGGACACCATGGTCTCTTGCACTCCTGACATCTGGAGGCCATGTCATGAAGGCAATTGAAGTTAAGCTGGGGAGGTAATGATGATGGCAGGTAAAAGAGAGGTAAATCAATGGTTCTCAATCTTGGCTGTACCTTAGAAATATCTGGAGATCTTTAAACAACTCCCAAGTCACACAGCAGACCAATAAATATCAGAATCTTTGGAACTAGGGCCCAGCTAGCATGTTTTAATCTCCAGGTGATTCTAATCTGTGTCCATTGGGTGCTACTCCTGCTCTGCTGATAGAAACTGGGGGTGGGGGAGGGTGGGCAGAGAGGACCCAGTAATCTGTGTTCTAACAAGCCTTTTGCAAAACTTAGGACTTGTGGTGTGAACCGTTCCAGATCCTCTGCATATTCATTTCAGTTCGCTGTTGTGCTTCTCTGCCCAAGAGGGTGTGAAGTGAAGGCAAGGGAGAGGAGGTATATTAACGCTTCAGATCTGTATCATATATCA